AAAATTATGGTCATCATTTCCTCAGGCAGCAAATTGTTGGGAGTGGGAGTGGTGTGAATGTAGCTCTTACTCAGGTTTGCCTTCTTTAATCAAGTTTACCTCCTCTATGAGTTCATTCCTTTTTCATTTTTCTTTTATTTATGCCCTTCTATTCCTTCATTTCTGGGTGTGTATTGAATGACTCTCCTCTGAGTTTGTTGATTGGAAAAATAAATTACACATTCATTCTGTTTATGTTGGAAAACATCAATGTAAGAAATTGTGCATCTGCACTAACATTCCTTACCATACTAGTATGGGGAGGGCATGGGGAAGTCTTGACATTTGTTTCAAGACTTTTATCTTCTCAGTTCCAGTTGTTCTGGTAACAGCTGGAAAAAGTGTTAAAGGATATGTTGCAAGTTCTCAGTACATTGAGCAGACTTGTGTATTTTCTGGTGTAGAGCTAATATGTTTTCTAGTATTTGAGCGTCTTAAGAACGAGCAGATACTGATCATAGCCTAGAAATACTGGAATTTTTACATCATGGATAATTCTTTGCTATGGAAACTGTCTACACAGGTAGGAAATCTTAAGAAATCCTTGCTATATTAGTGTAAGTATTTAGTTAGAAATATTACAGAGAAAAATTAAATTACAGGGAAATACAGCTTAACAATGAACATGAGACTTCTTATGGGCAGTATTCATTCAACTGTTATGATTATGCTTACTGTTACTATGTCTGCTTTTTTCGATATTAGGTGCCAAGTGTCATGAAAAACATGGAAAACCAAGAAAATGTCTACAGTGGTTTTAAAGGTTGAATTGTGTCATATAATCTTCATTTCAATTGTACCAAACTTACGTTAGTCTAATTAGAACACTGCTGTGAAAATGTTTGTGTTTTCTCTTGAGGGTGATCTTAGGATTCTAAAAGTAACTCAATAAATAAGAAAACACTCTCAGTAAACATTCATGTCTAAAAGTAGTCCTTTATTATAGCTTGCTGGAATGGGTTTTTCACTTCATTCTTAAGTCTTGTTGAAAGACCATATTGGTTCTCTTTATGTTTTGGTTTATCTGCGTAAGTCCACAGATTCCTATTTTGTGATACTGTATTTAAATACTACTGTTATATATTTAAGAGATTAGGTTTTAAGTTAATGTGGGATTTTTATAAGTAACATGTTAAACTTTGGGAAAACGCACATGGAGTTAGTAGCATTTTCTAATGTGAGTGTGTTTTTCCCATACTTAACTCAGGTAAATTGTGGCATTAGAGACGTTTTTCTTCCAAAGTTTCTGACCAGCCAATAAGAAGAAATACTCATTCAGGGAAGAGTCTGCCTTCCTTTTCTTTCTTTGGAAAGCAGTTAGTTTCTTTCTGGCTGTAAAAGGGGACTTTGGGGGTGTCTTTTGACAAGTGATCTTGTTCTAGTAATGTTGATAAGCGGTATTCTTTTTTTGGGTTCTTTCATCAGATATTTCCAAGAACAGAGATGGAGTCGTTAACTATGACGATCTTTGAAGTTCCTCAGCAGTACAGTAGGAAAGATGCTGTTCTGAGTTGTATAGGGGTGGGAAAGATGACACAAATCTAAATTTGGGGAACAAATATTTCTTATCATTAAGTAAAAAATACATTTGTCCAAAGGTCTTCCAGGAAAAACAGAACCTGAAAGGATTTTATTTTTAGAAGACAATAGATTTTTCAGATCAAAGTTAAGTTTCTATAAATGTAAATTGTTGCAAGTCAAATTTTTTTTTTTTTGATAGTGACACTGGAACTTTTAAAATGTGTATTGGTTATTTTTACAATCCCACTGATCTCATATGTATTTCTCACTTGATTATTTCACTGTATGCATAAATTATGTCTATTTTTTATCTGTCTTCTTTAGTTCCTGATGTTTAAGCCCTATTTTCGCTTCAGAGTTTAAGTAAACTGAGTCTTCATTTACTGTGTGCTACTTGCTGTTTTCTCCAAACTTTAGGAAGGGTTTATTGTAAGATTAGAACTGACTAGTAGCTCAAAGATAGCTGTCCGAAGATTTCAGTAGCCTGTTGTACTATGTCATTATTCAGGCATTCAATAAAATAGACATTATCTCTATAGTTGCTTTTTGCTTTGTCTTATTACCTGTAGATGAATCTGTCTTGTGATTCTTTTTGTGGCTATTACCGTTCCAATGCTCCTAATGACTATAGTAGAGTTGTATAGCAGCTCTTTTAAGGGAAAGCTGCACAATGTAAGGGTGAAACCACAAATGTTAGATTTGCAGTGCATGCTCAAACTGAAACAAAACCAAGTAAAAAAAACCTTAGGAACCGTGGAAGAGTTACATCATGTGAGACCATCATTTAAATAATCGGTTTATTCTGAGCAGCTGTCTTTGTATGATATAATTCCTGTCATGCAGATTTTTATAATTAGGATCTGAAAATGTTGGGGAAAAAAACGCTCTTTTATTTTTGTAAGTAGTTAAGGATGTGTTTTTTTTCTTGGCCATTGGTTTATCTGAAGGTACAGCCACTTTTAAACTGTTGTGATTCATGTTTCTTTGAGCAAAAAATTGATAAATCTTCCCACAAATCTAAGGCATGCTATAGATCATGTGCGGTAGAGGACAAAGAAATTCCTGGAAGTAGAATGCCAGGTCTAGCGCTGCCCCTTATCTGTAGCAGCAACCTGGTGTGTTAGATTTAATAGAAGGCATAAAACAAAGCACAGTGAACTTGTTTAAAATGTCTCCGATCACATCAGTGGGCTTTCATAGATTTCATAGGTTTCATAGATTTCTAGGTTGGAAAAGACCTTAGCGATCATCCAGTCCAACTGTCCCTAATCCCCATTAAACCATATCCCTAAGTAGTTCATCCACCCTTTTCTTAAACACATCCAGGGATGGGGACTCAGCCACCTCCCTGGGCAGCCTGTTCCAGTGGCTGACAACCCTTTCAGAGAAGAAATACTTCCTAACATCCAACCTGAATCTCCCCTGACTAAGCTTATGCCCGTTTCCCCTTGTTCTATCGCCCATCACTAATGTAAAGAGCCCTTCCCCCACCTCCCCACCATCCCTTCTCAAGTATTTGTGGGCCGTAATCAGGTCTCCCCTCAGCCTCCTCTTCTCCAGGCTAAACAACCCCAACTCCCTCAGCCGCTCCCCATAAGTTTTATTTTCCAGCCCCTTGACCAGTTTAGTCGCTCTTCTCTGGACTCACTTTCAATCAGCTCTTTAGGAGCAGACATCCTGATTTTAGGCTAAAGTCTATCAGAGCCTCATGCTATTGATGACAGTAGTTTTAGTATTTCTTTATGTAGTAATGTAGGAAGTTACACCGTGTGATTTCTCCAAGACCTTGGAATGATCTTGTTCAATGCAGAGAGGCACGCTAGACTCTGACAGAGCCATACTTTTGTTAGTAAGAGCAGGATTTTCCCATTACCATTTATCAGTGCTGTTTGATAAAGGGATATCAGCTCTACAGCATGAGCACTCTTGCTAAAGTACCGGTAATTGTATGGTGGAAATGTAATTTAAGGTGTATCATCCTCAGCAATGTTTGTTAAGAAGGAAAAACGAACGCTTTTAGTATACAGGCCTTTTTGTTGTAGGCAGTAGATTTACTTCGGTTTTCTCTGTTAAATTTGACCTCATCTAGTACTAGTTGAATGATGGAAGATTCTTCATTTTCTTACACATAGAGTCGGAAAGGAACTTCACTGTTTTAGTCTAGCATCTTACTTTTTACTTTTTCTAAGAGGCCAGCTTCTTTCTGCAGCCAGTGTTTTCATCACACCCATATTGTGCTTTTTATCCAGCACCTCTGCGAACTGTACAGGCTGTACGAGCATTGAATAATTGCCTTGTACAGAGGATTTGAGCAGGCTGTGGTGTTAAACTGGAAGGTTAACATCTCAAATATTAAAAGCTTTGTTTCCTGCTTTATTTCTTGGGATTTTAGTTGTAATGCTGTCAAGTATCACTATCTTAGTTCTGCTAAATGAGTCTTTCTCAACTTGGAAAGGAATTGGAGCTCTTCAGAAATTATTCATTAATCTTTGATTTTTGTACGTGTGCTGTGATGGCATTCATCAACACAGGAGGAAGCGATCTCTTGTAAACCCTAGCAATTTGTGGGTAATACTATGTAAAATACTGTGTAAAAAGTCACCAAGTTTCAGAGAAAAATAAATCAACCAAAATTTCTTAATTATGATTTAGTGAACAGCTAATTTCTTTTAAATTGCATTCCTTGCTACATCTTGCCAGGACAACTGTTGTCAAGAGAAGGAATGATTCCCACATTTATCTTTCTGGATTTTTTGGTTTTGTAGTTGAAAGGAAGAAACACTTCTGATTTGTTAGTTCACATATCTCATCGAGAGTCATAGTTCTGTTTCTCGCTACATTTTGTAGTTAGACTTTTTTTTAAACATGGTGCTTGGAATGTGGACTTGGACTATAGTTGCCACGTGAATTTGATTCACTGTGTTTGTAGGGTAAATATTTTAAAAGAACTGTCCTAAATGTGGTGTTATTGAAGTCAGTGGAAATGTAACAAATGCATCAAAGCAAAGTTAGAAATGTGCTGAGTTGAAAAACCTAGTTTTAATCTTCGTTATTTTCATTGTAATTTTAGTTGGAGCATTGACTTTTCTGGGAGCAAACTGGGTCCATGTGTATGACAAAACTTTGAACTTGATCTCATTCCAATCAAAAAGTCATGCAGTTCTTACTGATTTGCTTAAGTATTTGATTTTTTTTTTTTTTTTGAGAGAGAAAAAACCTTGTGGAGACTGTTTTTTTCCATCTGAGATTAGTCAAATTCCTAGTCTGTGTTTAGATGAAAACTAAACTTTCATAAGGATATTAGATCAGGTTTTTGTACTGTTTCTTGTATGCCACAAGCACATTTAAAAATTTACATTTTTGCAGAATGCTTTCTGTGACTTACTTCTTACTGTTACAGGAGTCATAATCATTACTGTTGTTTGGTTTTACTTTTTAAGGTACCCAGAGAACGGCATAGTAGAAATGGACACCACTAATCTTCGACCCCGAGCAAGAACTATTCTGAAGTGGAGTGAACTAAAAGTGGGTGATGTGGTGATGGTTAACTACAATGTTGAGACTCCAGAAGAAAGAGGATTTTGGTTTGATGCAGAAATTACCTCTTTGAGAGAAATCTCAAGGACTAACAAAGAGGTTCATGCTAAAATTCTGCTGGGGTAAGATCTGTTTGACCAACTCATAAAATCTCTACATATCATATAAAGTATGGTTTTGGGTTTTTTGTCTACTAGTCATCACTAGATTAAAATTAATGTCATACTTCGATTCTACAGCTGTCTGAGTCATGGAGTTACAATGCATGGCTTTTATGGTGTGCAGACTTAGCTATGAGTCAATTTTTACATTTCCTGAGATTGCTGGAGGCAACGATAAGGTTTCGTGTATTATCTGTGATTCGAATTGATCAGAGCGTGGTTTTATTTATATTCAGTTCTACTTATATATTTATACATTTATATTATTTTTATATATATGTTCAATTCTGTTGAAAGCTGAAAAATCTGGTTTTGCTAGTTTTCGAGATTATTGGGAACCCTTAGGTCTCAATGAGTGTCAGTCATCTCTTACAGTTTGAGTAAGTCTCTGAACTGGCTAATAGAATTTTTAAAGAATAAAATGTTTGTGTAGGTATTATAGCTTCTGATAAGTAAAATGTGGAACTGTGGGATGTGGAAATTACGAGTTCTCATGTGGCCGAACTCACCAGTTTTGCTTTGCTTTCCTATTTCGTTTAAAAACTTGTGTATAGTTCTTTAGGAACGGTGTTTTCTGCAGAAATCCATATGATATTACTGTCAGTAAGCTGTATGATTGCTGCCTTAGGGACGAACAGATGACCAGTCTTTATCGGCACCGTCCTTGAGGACGTCCTTAAGTGTCCTTACAGCGCCCCTGTAACCTTCCTTCTCCTTCTCATTACCTTTCCTCATTCCTTTAATGTTATTCTTTTCTGACAGAAAAGAACAAAAAGCAAATGGAACCAGTCTGCCACCTCCATCCTTGCAGAAGAGTGGGGTATATGAGTATTTACATGTTAGGAGTGAAACTGATTTTAAAATTAAACTGGAACTACAGTGAAATTTCATTTTACTTAAGAAAATGTTGATTTAATTTCGTCATGCCCCACATTTCTCAATGAGGAGTATCATTGTTCTGGGAGTATATTCCTTAAAATGAATTGGACTATTTCTGTACTAGTGTAGTTTCTTTATGAGGAGAGAGAATTGTTGTATCTGTAGGAAGACTTACAGCGTAGGATATGGTTAATTGGAAGAGGCACACGGAAGACTTATTATCAGGCGCAGTTCAGTATTTTGTGTTTAAAAAAAAAAAAAAAAGAATCATACCTAGTACTAGGAAATCGGAGAGACATTTGACTTGGTAAATCATGGAAGTAAATGAAAATCTGTTTTGTGGATGGCGTTTTATTTATAGAATAACAGGAGTTTTATTTTAGACAGTCTCAGTGCATTATTGGCCTTCCTGTATGAAGTATTGCAGGCATATGGACTTGTTTTGTAGGCAAAGCCAAAAAAAACCCCAACCTTCAAATATAAAGCAAGAAGAAACTGAGTAGGTAGTTTGAATTATTAACTTGGCAGGGAAAAGAGACTAAGAAATGGAGGCCAGTCTAGAGAGTTAAAGATCTTCATTGCAATGTGTTTAATATCTGTACGGCATTTGGTGAATCAGAGATGGACTTCATGACCTTCTACAAACAGAACTGTCCAGATACCAGGTTATGTGAAGCTCACATGTCTATTGGTAATGCTATTCTTTCGGAGTTTTTCCAATTTATTGAAATATGATAATCAAAACATGATTTATATTGGCAAAAGTAAGCATATGGTGGCTAATAAAAGTTCCGTTAATGCTGATTGGAACTCTATAGGATAGCCTTTCGTAAAATCTAAATAAAGTGATAGTTATGCTTCAGATTTGGAGATGGTAAGTTCAAATACCATGGGTACTGTGGCAAGTACCATAGGGTTCCCCGTAGTATTGACGCTTGCTATCCTCTGAAAGGAGCTGGGGGAGAAAAAGCACAATTGACAAAGGTCTTACTCTAAGGTGGTGAATTAAAGTCCATTTTTCAAATGAAATCTTATTTCAGTGAATTTGCTTCCTGACTAAAAATGCAGGCTTCATTTACGTATTGCTAGATTGCATATGCAGTATTCAAATAGTTTGCAGAAAGTAAGGTTATCCGAGCTCTGCCACTTCTGAAATTTATCAAGGAATACTTCTGTATCACTTGTGCTATCTAAGTCGTTCCTCTCAGTTAGTGGTAAAAATACAAGGTGAATCTGCTCGTGTTTATAAACTTGCGTAAGGAACTTGTTGCAACAAGAATCACTTTACGTTTCAGGTATGTGTGTTTGCAAAATAAAAAACAATCTCTTGTTGTTTGTTAATATATATTAATATACTAATATACATAATATAAAGTATATATTAACATAAGTTAGTTTATAGTTATATTTATGTTCTGATACTATAGTATTATTTTAATCTTTAATAATATAACTGATATAGGAATATTCTATAATTTAATATATTATTGATGTGTTATCATGAGTTCTTACCATAATGTTAGCATTAGTTAATTGTTTCAAATAAAGATGAAATCTATTTTGAATGGTTTAGGAGTATATGTTATCAATTGGTTGTGTCTTAGTGTTTAATTGTTTCTGTACTACTTGAGAACAACCTTAGCAGGCAGTAAAGGGAGGCAGAATTCTTAGGGTTGCTTCAGGTAAACTCACAACTTGGGCTTTTTTCCCTTTCTGGTATTACATCAAAAAGACTTTGTATAAAGCAGTTTTGAATTCAATAGTTGAACGTGGATAAGAAATTGGCTGGATGGTCGCACTCAGAGTTACAGTCAACAGCTCCATGTCCAAGTGGAGGCCAGAGACGAGTGGTGTTCCTCAGGGGTCGGTACTGGGACCAGTGCTATTTAACATCTTTGTTGGAGACATGGACAGTGGGATCGAGTGCACCCTCAGCAAGTTTGCAGATGACACCAAGCTGTGTGGTGTGGTGGACACGCTGGAGGGAAGGGATGCCATCCAGAGGGACCTGGACAGGCTGGAGAGGTGGGCCTGTGAGAACCTCATGAAGTTCAACAAGGCCAAGTGCAAGGTCCTGCACGTGGGTCGGGGCAATCCCAAGCACAAGGACAGGCTGGGCGGAGAATGGATCGAGAGCAGCCCTGAGGAAAAGGACTTGGGAGTGCTGGTGGATGAGAAGCTCACCATGAGCCAGCACCGTGCGCTGGCAGCCCAGAAAGCCAACCGTGTCCTGGGCTGTATCAAAAGCAGCGTGGCCAGCAGGTGGAAAGAGAGGATTCTGCCCCTTTGCTCTGCTCTCTTCAAAGTTCACCTGGAATACTGCGTTCAGTTCTGGAGTCCCCAACACAAGAAGGACATGGAGCTGCTGGAGTGGGTCCAGAGGAGGCCACGAAGATGATCCGAGGGCTGGAGCACCTCTGCTCTGGAGACAGGCTGAGAGAGTTGGGGCTGTTCAGCCTGGAGAAGAGAAGGCTCCGGGGTGATCTTATAGCAGCTTTCCAGTACCTAAAGGGGCTACAGGAAAGCTGGAGAGGGACTTTTTACGAGGGCGTGTAGTGACAGGACACGGGGCAATGGCTTTAAACTGGAAGAGGGCAGATTTAGATTGGATATAAGGAAGAAATTTTTCACTCTGAGAGTGGTGAGACACTGGAACAGGTTGGCCAGAGAAGCGTAGCTGCCTTATCCCTGAAGGTGTTCAAGGCCAGGTTGGATGAAGCTTGGACCAATGTGATCTAGTGGAAGGTGTCCTTGCCCAGGGGAGTTGGAACTACATGATCTTTGAGGTCGCTTCCAACCCAAACCATTCTATTGTTCTATGATTTATTGATCGTGATTGCTTTTGACAAAGATTTCATGAAGTTATTGGAACAATGACAATAACATGTACTATTTGTTGTAATGCTTCGGAGCTGGTAGAACATGTGCTGAGTACTTCCTTTTTACTCTGTCTGTTGACATGCATGTTTGTTAGGTGTTACACTCATGTCTCTGTCATAATTTAAAGGAAGTGTCCTGTACAGTGTGTCATCATTAGTTTATGTTTTGGAAAACAGATAATGGATTAGAGAATTTTATCAAAGAGAGGAGTGAGACTGAACAGGAGAGAAAAAGACATCATTATACAGAAGAATTGACCACATATTACTAATTCTTATTTGTACTCCATTTGCATTACAACTAAAATTTCTAATTGTAGGATGTCTAAAACCTATCCAAACTGGACTTACTATGTCTCAGATACAAATACTAGGGAAATCAGGATCTCATGTGGTAGGAAGAGAATACCTAGCAGAACTAGAACCCTGGACTTCAGTAGGGCCAACTTTGACCTTTTCAAACAATTGCTAGGAGAAATCCCATGGGACAGAGTACTAGAAGGTTTTTTAAAGGGCGGCCCAAGATAGTTGGTTAGCCTTCAAGGACCTCTTCTTCTGAGCTTAAGACTGGTGCATCCCAACAGGTAGGAAGTCAAGAAAGGGCACCAAGAGACCTGCATGGTTAAATGGGGAACTGTTGGGCAAACTCAAGTGGAAAAAGAAAGTGTACAGATCATGGAAGGAGGGGCAGGCCACTTGGGAGGAATATAGGTCTGCTGTCAGAGGATGTAGGGAGGCAACTAGGAAAGCTAAGACCTCCTTGGAATTAAACCTTGCAAGAAAGGTCAAGGACAACCGAAAGGGCTTCTTCAAATAAATTGCAGATCAAACTAACACTAGAGGCAATGTAGGCCCACTGGTGAATGAGGAGGGTGCCTGGTGACAGAGGATAATAAGAAGGCAGAGTTACTGAATGCCTTCTTTGCCTCAGTCTATACTGCTGGAGGCTATCCTGGTGAGCCCTGGAACCCTGAGGCTCCTGAGGAAGTCAGGATAGAGAGGGAGTCTACCCTGGTTGATGAGGACTTGGTTAGGGACCAGTTAAGCAACCTGGCACAATACTTAAGCAAATTGGATTTTCACAAATCCATTGGCCCTGTGTGATACACTCTCGAGTACTGTGGGAACTGGCTGATGCTACTATGAGGCCACTTTCCATCATCTTTGCTAAATCAGGGGGATCGGGAGAGGTGCCTGAGGACT